ATTAATCATCAATCCTGCAAAGTGCCAGTTCGGGGTGTCGGACATCGATTTCCTGGGGCACCGCGTCACCAAGGGCGGTGCGACACCTCTGCCAACGAAGGTGGAGGCTGTTGTGGCTTTTCCTCGCCCGCTCACAGCCCGGTCGCTCCGTGAGTTTCTGGGGATGGTGTCTTTCTACCACCGTTTCATCGCCCGGGCCGCACACATCATGCGGCCGCTGTATGAAGCATTGAAGGGCAAGACCCCGTCCAGGAGATCGACTGGACAGCAGAGGCAGACGGCGCTTTTGCTGAGGTCAAGACCGCGTTGGCTCAGGCAGCTTTGCTGGCACACCCATCATCTACGGCTCCCATCTCCATCACCACGGACGCGTCGGACTACGCGGTCGGCGCAGTGCACGAGCAGTGGGTGGAGGGCGCTTGGCAGCCGCTCGCCTTTTTCAGCCGCCAGCTGACGCCTAGAGAACGCAAATACAGCGCCTTTGACCGGGAGCTCCTCGGACTTTATTTGGCCGTGCGGCACTTCCGTTTCATGCTGGAAGGCCGTGAATTTACGGCGTTTGTCGACCACAAGCCGCTCACCTTCGCCATGTCAAAAGTGGCGGAGCCTTCCGGCAGCTGTCCTACATATCGGAGTTCACTACGGACATTAAGCACGTGGCTGGCAAGTCGAACCTGGTTGCTGATTGCCTCTCCAGGGTCGTCATCGGTGCCGTCCAGTTGGGCCTGGACTATACTCGCATGGTGGCGGACCAGGTCACAGATCCCGGCGTCCAGGCTCTGAAGGTGGAGAGCGCGGGGCTGCGCTTGGAGGACGTGGTGTTCGGCGACGCGGGCATTACTGTCCTGTCTGATGTCTCTACGGGCCTGGTGCGGCCTATCGTCCCTGCCAGCTGGAGTGGTCCTGTGTTCGAGGCTGTGCACGGCCTGTCACACCCCGGCGTTAAACCTTCAGTACGTTTGGTAGCCGCGAAGTTCGTTTGGCAAGGACTGAAAAGGGACGTGAGGACTTGGGCCAGGGAGTGCGTGGCTTGTCAACGCGCTAAGGTGCACCGCCACACGAAGGCCCCGTTGGAGCGTTTCCTGGTGCCTGAGAGGAGGTTTGATCACTTCAACATTGACCTGGTTGGTCCGTTGCCTTCCTCTCAGGGGTTTTCCTACCTCCTCACCATGGTGGACAGAATGACCCGTTGGCCAGAGGCGGTTCCGCTCGTTTCGACATCAGCCGCAGACGTTGCCCGGGCCTTCATTGCAACGTGGGTGTGTCGTTTTGGCACCCCGTCAGACATTTCCTCAGACAGGGGCTCTCAGTTCACGTCCGAGCTCTGGAACGCTGTGGCAGGCGGTTTGGGGGTTAAGCTGCACAGGACTACCGCTTATCACCCTCAGGCTAACGGCCTCTGCGAGCGCTTCCATCGCTCCATGAAGGCGGCCCTCAAGGCCGGCCTTACGGACGGTAACTGGGTCGACAAGCTGCCCTGGGTGATGCTGGGCCTGAGGACCGCACCTAAGGAAGATCTGCAGTGTTCTACAGCGAAGATGGTCTATGGTCAGCCGCTGAGAGTTCCGGGGGATTTCCTCCCAAATGCATCAGCTCCCTGGTCTGCCATGGCCCAGCGAGTTTTTCTGCGTGACGCGGCGGAGGCTTTCGCTCCAGTCCCGACTACTCAGCACGGTGCGCCAGGGTCTCGAGTTCCCGCGGAGCTACGCTCGGCTGGGCACGTCTTCATTCGTCACGACGCACACAGAGGCCCCCTGCAGCCCCCTTACGATGGACCTTTCCGGGTTTTAGAACACAGTGAAAAACACCTGGTGGTCGACATGGGCGGTAAGGCTGAGCACGTCTCGGTTGACCGGGTGAAGGCTGCTCACTTGGACGTGGACCGGCCGGTGGTGCTGGCTCGGCCGCCGAGACGGGGCCGACCCCCGACTTTGATTCCTGTCTGGGAGTGTGGACCTGTTGTTCCGGTCCCTCTTCTATCAGGGGCCGAACGGGCGGAGGTCGCTGTACCGATTCCGGTGCGCAGGTCTCGTGGGGGCAGGCGGATTGTTCCTCCCCGCCATACGGATTTTGTTTACACGTGAATTCTGGGGGGGCTTGTGTGGTGACACGTTATTGGACATAATTCACCTCTCGTATTGTGTTGCCACACGGACCCTTTAGTGGGAACACCTGTAGCGTTAGCTTCCATTCCTGCTAGCTCATCAAGCAGAGCAGTTGATGTGATAACCTCTCTGCTATTAATGGCTAATAAAGATTAGAACTCTGTTCTTAATACACCGCCTCCGACTCCCTTTTCCTGGCACTACAACATATACATTTTAGTTTATGATTCAGCCTTGGGTAAGACTTTTATAGTCTATGGCTATGACGCCCATAATGCTAAACGGGAGCAAATGTTAATAGGGGACCCAATTATCCCAGTGGTGGCCGCCGGAGCTAACGGAGCCGCAGGGGGCTAGCTCCAGCCGGCGTCCCGGAGCTAGCCCCCTGCGGCTCCGTTAGGTCCGGGCGATGGAGTCCGTCTTTTCTCAACGTGTGAATGACAAGCATTAAGAATAACAAAATATAGCTAATTCTCTTGCAGATTGTCTCATTTGATTATGAATGTAACGTTTATATAGGGGAACTACACTGTTAGCAGTAACTTGGTATGCATGTATTTCATGTCAGCTTCTTAGCCTGAGCTAGCTCTGTTTACTTCCAGTTCGGAGGCAGCTGGTCCCGCCTCGGCTCCGCCTCTTTGACTTTATTTGGAGCAGGCGGGATTATACTCTGACGTCACAGTCGAGCCGTTAGTGGCTGACTCCGCCTACTAAGGGCTTCACGGCAACTCTGCAGAATCCTATGGGTGACGTCACGGACACTACGTCCATTTATATATACAGTCTATGGTCTGTCCACACTAGACAGCTCCGTTTAGCTCCAACCGCTGGAGAAGCTGCAGTACATATGCAGAAGCCTGTACGTGGCGCTGTAACTTCCTCCACAAAAGCAGCGAAGAAGCATGGTTGTCATGGTTGCCCTTCTGTTTATTCTCCGCGGTGGGGGCCGAGGGAACCGGGCAGAGTTTTTCGTCAGTCAACGTGAATTAAAGTTTCAATCTTCCGGACAAAATTATAAAAGTGCCGGTCAAAGGTCTTCTTTGTTATTTATTGAGCTTTAAAACAAATGAATAACGACTCTATATAATATTATAATAAAATACATGGAGCCTCTCTTTTTCCTCCCTCTCTTCGGACAGCGTCAGTGTCTGTTTCATGCAGCAGCTGATCCAGTAATGAGTGACCCGGCCGACAGTAAAAATAAACATATTTATAACTAGTTTAGGTAGTGTCTCCGTCCTGTCAGATTAGACTTCACTCGCGTTTAGGTCCATATCATTAGCTCATCATTATCAGAAAATGATCGTATAGGGCGCACACACAGAGCTGTTTGACCCCCCCCAGAGCGTTGCATATGCCGTTCTATCCACCTTGGGACCCGTTATCGTTTCCGCAATCGTTTGGTGCCGTATTCGGTCGTCCTCGTGTGGCCGAACAGTCTATATGACACTAAACAGTAACGCAAACGACCGTTTTCGTCCTCGTGTGGCCGGGGCCTAAGTTATGGAATACTAAATAAATAAGTAATTAGACACCTTACCGTTACTGCGCTCATAAAGAATGATAAGAATAAGAATAATGCGTATTGAACTGGTTTAATTAATTAGTGAGTTTTTTTAAGGTAATTAGTTAGAGGCCCTATTTTATCAGTATGTCTGCACAGCAGTTACAATGGTCTGGTCAAACTACATTAGAACAGAATTGTCCCCATTTTGTCTTTAATAGTTACTAACATTAGATCTTTTTGATGAGATATGGACCGCAAAACAAAAATGTCCCTGGTTTTCATTTTTAAAAACAAGTTACCGAATGCAAGTAGTTGCCTTCGCTTATTTTGTTATGAGATGTGAATTACTGTTCAATTGAGTTGATGTAATAATCGTTTGATGTCTTTTACATTAAAAACAAGTTACAATTTTCAAAAGGTCTTGTGTTTTTTATCGGGGGGGAGGCCCTTCTTCCAGTTTAGAGCAATAGCCCCTCCAAATGTCTGTGCACGTCCCTGATCGTGGGCCACATTATCATTATGGTTGCACTCAAAGGGCCGGTCGTAACTTTCAATCTCAATCTTTATTGCACATTTAAAACAACCTCAGTTGACCAAAGTGCTGCACAGGCAACAAATATAAAATAACACAATAGGAGTAAAATAATAAAACAAAGCACAATAACTAGAAACATATAAAAAACACATACACATATCAAAATGTTATGATCAACTAGTATTAAAAGCCAGTTCAAAACGTTAAGACTATATATAAATACATATTTAAATATATCATATATATAAAATAATGTATTATATTACATTATTGCCTCTTCATTGGATTATTATTGGATAGGGTAATAACTTCATAATTAACTACGTCTGAAAAGCAGAAGTCTATAATAGCAAGTCTCTTCAGTGCGCACGTCACAAAATGAGATGCATTGTGGGACATGTAGTTTATGGGCAACGTGCTTCTGTAAAGCGGCATTCAACTGTATAGTAAACATATTATATTCTTTGCAAGCTCTTGCGGGGCCACATGAAATATAGTCACGGGCCGCATTTGGCCCCCGGGCCTTTAGTTTGACACCGCTGCTCTAGGGGGACAAGGGCATGCTGTATTTTTCAATAAGATGAACAGATTCATCAAAGATGGAAACAGTTGGTGTTGAGCCACACAGGGCCTGGGAATGCAGTCATGTTCAAATAAACATCCAGATTGTGTTTCAATGTAAGTTTGGCTCGGTCCTCCACAGTGACTGGATGTCAGCTCAAACTGATCCGTCTCATATCTGAATTATTCCTCTGTTGCTCAGCTGAATACGTGCCTGTAGTTTTCTATACGGTGTCATGCCTTCAGAGCTGCTGGTGTTAACCTCTTTCTCATCGAAACACTTCTCCTTCAGTTCTCAGAAGAAAAACACTGGAGGTGAAATGAGGAACCAGAAAACATCTTCCTGTTCAACTTCCCTTCTTCTGTGGCTTATCTGCTGTTATCATCGGTACTGAGTTCTAGTTAAAGAAGCAGCCGGGGAGAGACTCTGACAGTCGAGAGCCAGAGACCGAGAGAGAAGCACGATGTCTGAATTCAGAAGGATCATGATGTCTTCATTCCTGATGCTGCTGCTCCACTTTCCAGGTGAGGACGCAGAGAACACACACTGTTCACGACTGTTAATGAAAGCTAGTGAGGGCGTCTCTCAATGAAATCGATGTATCCTTGGGCGAGATGCTGAACCCCAAGTCGCTCCCAATGGGGAACGGTGTGTGAAAGATACCTTCTGTCGTGGCGTTTTGATCCGTTTCTACATTTAATATCCACGTTCCTCTATCGGGGTGTGGGCTACGACGCGCCTCTCTTTGCTTCCTAACTAACTTTGCAGAGATCGTTGTAGCGTTGAATCACATCAGGTTTATTCTTTGATCCAGGCGACATTCAAACATGAAGACAAACTTCCTCGCTTCAAAGTAACTCAAAGTTCTCCGTATCAAAAAAGAACAAAAAGAACACGGTCAAAATACTCTACCGCTTCCTGTCTAATCACACCCTCAGCTGTGAACCAACGTCATGCCATATATAGAGATACAGACATGCAGACATGCAGACATGCACGTCACATCTGACCGAAAATAAGTGAGGCTTAAAGTAACATCTTTCAAAGCGTAGTGTGACTCACTAAAATAGATAGTTAAGAGTTTCCTCTAAAGCCTTTTAGTAATAAGACAAACATTCAAAGCATAACGATGAAAGGGAAATGGCTCTAACCCAGTGCTTCTCAAAGTGTGGTCCGCGGACCACTGGTGGTCCGTGAGCGCCCCCTAGTGGTCCGTGAGTATATTGGTAAAATTTCACATTTGAAATTAATTAATTAATTCAAGTTTTCCGCACTCTCGCGGGAATATCTCCGCAATGGAGCGAGCTTAAGTTTCACTTTCAATTGCATGATATAGCCCAGATAAACACCTTCATCACACATGTGGCCACTTGTTTGTACCATTTTAAGGCGATTTGCAAAAAACGATGTGTTTTGGGATATTTGTGGAGTTAGGTGGTCCGCGAGTGTTTTTTTATTGGTTAAGTGGTCCTTGGTATGAAAAAGTTTGAGAAACACTGCTCTAATCCCTTCATTGAGCAAGGGGCACATTGCTCTGTATGAACTGGGGGTGAATGGGTGACTTGTATGTAAAGCGCTTTGAGGGGTGAGAGACTGGATGAAGAGCTTTATGAATACAGTCCATTTACCATTTACCAAGTACATGAAATAAAACAGCTCTAATATCACTAACGGTACTTTACTACGTACTGTTCCTTTAACTGAGAGTGAAGAGTTGTGTTTGTAACGTGGTGACTTTAGTGAACTCTTGCTCACTAAAACCCACATAGCCAGGGCTGCACATAACTGGTGCGCAGGTGCGCATGCGCACATCCGCCAAAAAAAGAGCACCGGGTCATTTGAAACAAAGCGCATTTGCGTACCAACATTGAGAGAGGGAGAGAGGGAGAGAGAGAGAAAGATATTTGCGAGTTGCATACATGTATGAACCATGATATGAACTCAGGGTCGGCCCGTAGCACTGGCTAGATGTTCGCCTAGGGCGCCAGATCTGTGGAGGCGCTGCGCTGGCAGTTCTGGGAGGGAAAAAAACATTTTGACCGTTGGGGCTCATCCTAATTTTCGGCCTTGATGTAACAATATTCACAATTAAGTAAATGTAACACCCTTTTCACCCCGGTTACACGTTTCATTTGCCCTGTACGATGGGCGCTGTAAGTGATGAAAATGGGGGATGTTGGCTTATCTGGCGCCCGCAGCTCACAGACAAAGCGAGGGAGAGAGGGAGGGTGCACCGGTACCAGCGCTGTTGTTATTAGCATCTGGTGCCGTGCTAGCTGCTCTAATGGATATAAGAAGAAGATGTTTCTACAATAATGTGGAGGGAGAGTCCTCTCCAGTCAGACTGATAACTACAGCTCAGTGAGGTAAAGGACTCTTGAGTGTTTAGATAGTTCACTTTAGTCTAAGTTCAAACGGTTTGGTCACAATTTATGTAAACACATATTCCCAAGGCACTCCTTTATAATTATTGGGATAAACAGGTTTGAAATCATTCCAATGTATACTATAGGACAGTAACCAAAAATATCCTTTAAAACTGGAGAGATAAAAAAAAATGCATAAATAAATAAATGTTAAGGTAAAATAAGATATGAATGAACAACACAAATAAAATAAGTTACATTAATTTGTTATTGGCTATGGTAGGTTATTGGTTATGTTCACATACTTATTTGATTACATCCACTTGTCTAAGATGACAACAGAGACTTTCGACCCAAACCCAGCTGCTGACTTGTGGATGCAAGCAGCTAATCGCAGACTCAACCAGAGAGAAAGAAGTAGGCCTACATCATCAGCTACCATGTCTGACAGAGAGGAAGACAGTGAGGAGAACAGTCAGGAGGGTAGTGATGACAGCTTGTAGGATTACTGGTCGTGCTAATGTTGTCTTGTGTTCACCTCTGCATGTGTGTTCTGTGTTCACCTCTGCATGTGTGTTCTGTGTTCACCTCAGTGTGTGTGTTCTGTGTTCACCTCAGTGTGTGTGTTCTGTGTGCACCTCAGTGTGTGTGTTCTGTGTGCACCTCTGCATGTGTGTTCAGTGTTCACCTCAGTGTGTGTGTTCTGTGTTCACCTCTGCACGTGTGTTCTGTGTTCACCTCTGTGTGTGTGTTCTGTGTTCACCTCTGCATGTGTGTTCTGTGTTCACCTCTGCATGTGTGTTCTGTGTTCACCTCTGCATGTGTGTTCTGTGTTCACCTCTGCATGTGTGTTCAGTGCCGTGTGTCTGGCAAATAAAGTCAAGACCCCCTCAAAAGTTACGGTTTATTTCATTTTAAGGATGAGCACCAAGCAACATCTCCAGGTGCTCCTTTGAGAACCAGGGCAAAAAAAGTTATGTGCACCCCTGCACATAGCAATATTCTTTAAAGTGATCGTCACACTCACTATGAACGCTTCAGTTAGTGATGTGGATCTGTAATTAACTCTGGTTTTAATGTGTCGTTAAATGATTCATTAAACAGATCAACCAGAACTCTAACTCTTTACCTTTTTATATAATACATCATTATTCTGTCAGCATTTATCACGTCTATATTTCTTTCTGCTTTTTTCCCCAACAGCTGCAGATCTGAAACGTTACATTGTCAGAGCTGGAGATGAAGTCACTTTGCCTTTTGACTATGTGATACATGATCAGGATAAATGTGAGAGTGCTACCTGGCGCTTCAGTGATTCAAGAGGTCCAGCAGTGACGCTGTTTGAAGACAGGCAGATTCACAAAGCTAACTCAGACAGACTGAGAGTTACAGAGAATTGTTCTCTGGTTATAAAGAAGGTCACAGAGGAGGATGCTGGTCGTTACCTCTGCAGCCAGTTCAGATCAGACTCTTGGGTTGATCTGTCTGTTGTTACCAGTGAGTATTTACATCAAGATGTTTCAAACTGTCTCTATAGAGCAATATACTGAAACATTACAATAATAATGATTGAAGTGAAGAAGTTAATGTTACTCTTGTTGTCTTTCTCTCTCAATATCTCCATCTTCAGTGACTGAACATCACGACAATGATGAGGTGACGTTACGCTGCTCTGTGGAGACATTTGTAGGGTGTGATCACCCAGTGAAGTGGCTGCTTCAGGGTCAAGATGTGGTTAAATATCAAAGAGAGATAAAGACATCACAGTCTCCCTGCTCTGCCTCTGTGACATTTCTGACTTCTCTCTTTAGTTACACAACAAGGTCTGAGTTGTTTTCTTGTGATGTAACTAATGGTTTCACAGGAGAAGTTCATCTGTTTCCCTTCAGCGCTCAGTCCTCAGGTGAGAACATGTTGAGATGTTTAAAATGACTTCTAACAGTCTTGTTATAAGCAGTGGCGACTGGTCATTAGGGGCTGGTGGGGCACACCTAGTGTCAGCAGAAAGTATTAAAATAATGATTACAACAAAATGTAAAAAAATATATATATAAAATATATTTTAAGATCATGTTTAATCATCTGATTCGTCTCATTGCTGTTTTAGTCTGTGTTCTTCTAATTAGTGTCTACAGTGTGTGCCTGTTGAGCTGTTTAGAGCCATGTGGGACAAAACCTGATCCTGCCCCCTCCCTCTCACTGTCTAGACACTAAGTGAACGGTGACTGTAATAACTACACTGCGCATGCTCAGAGTATTTTCCTATTTAATGTGTGTGGCAAAAAATAATGACCATAGAGCTGCCATCCCCACCATACGTCATCTCACATCATTCAGAGCTGATTGGCTGTAAGTACGTGTGCCGCGAAAAGTGTGGTGTGTGAAGAGGAGACGAGAGACGCGTCCTAAAACCAGGAAGTAAGCTGCGCATGGCTTCCCTCCACAAAAAAGCAATGAGGTTTCTCCATAGGATTTTAGAAAATAGCTCCAAATAAGATCTGTGGGAAACGTAGCTGTTAGATAAATGCACGTTTTGTTCAGCCGGATAATATCCACATGTCTACCCTACTTTTATCATTTTCGAATCATAAATCCATCATTTAGATTTATGATAGACTTTTGAAACTACAAGAACATAAGGAGGACTTTTACAAAAAAGTAATAGAGATGTTTGTCCAGAAGGATAGGCAAATGGACTTCATCTTCAAGTCAAGGTAAGACCACCATTTTATTGAAAATGGGATCTTACTAAGAGAGAACAATTCAATATTTAAATGATAAAATTACATTTTTTGGGTATCCTTCTGTTGAACTGTCTGTTTCAAATTAATCGAAGCATCAGACTAAAGAGGCTTTTGAGAATAATATTATATTTTGATTTAGATGAAAATATAATATTTGTAAACCTGAAGAGTCAGAGCCTCAGCAGCCATGAACCTCACTGCAGAAGCTTATATATAGACATCTAAGTTTTTTGTGCCCCACCACTTTTGTACATATAGAAACGCCACTGGTTATAAGAATATACTGAAACAACACATTTACAACGTCTCACATTTATCAGCGATGTAATGAGTTTCTGAAATGTGAAGAGACGGATGGTTCTGATAAAAAGGAGAAGCTCTTAATTGAGAAACCAGGTTAGAATATAATGAGTTGTTTCAAATCACTTATCACACATTTAATCACAGATAATGCTTTTTGGGGTTTGAGGTTTTGACGTCACTTCATTTTGTCATTTGGTTTATGCATAAAAACTTTTTTTTTAACTACAGTTTTTTGGATGATGTTGTTTTGTTCCTGAAGGAGATGCTACAACAACTGGAACAGCAGGTCTCTTGAGGCTCATCCTGGTGTCTTTGGGGTTAGCAGCTCTCATCGTCACCGTGGTTACGGTCCACATCTGGACCAGAGCTAAAGGTGAGGGTTCATAGATTCAAGAGAAAGGACAAAGGAAACCGTGGAAGCTGAAGTCAACATGTTTGTCTTTTTGTTTTCTCAGGGGGCAAAAAACGGATGAGAAAAAACCTGGTGAGTTTAAATATAAAATAATAGCTTGTAATATTTATTATTTTCATTGAACTGTGATTATAAGACAGGCAGAAGATTCAACAAAGGAGTAAAGTGTGCATGTTGTGTTGAAATGAAGTATCTCTGTGGGTCCCTTGAGCAAGGCACTAAAGCAGGGGTGTCAAAGTCAATTTCATCGCGGGCCACATTAGCATTATGGTTGCACTCAAAGGGCCGGTTGTAACTATATAAATATATATATATAAAATAATGTATTATATTACATTATTGCCGCTGCATTTATTATAACTTAATAACTTCATAATTAACTACGTCTGAAAAGCAGAAGTCTACGGCAAATAATTGCAAGTCTCTTCAGTGTGCATGTCACAAAACGAGATGCATTGTGGGATATGTAGTTTATGGGCAACCTGCTTCTGTAAAGTGGCATGAAACCGTATAATAAACATTATATTTTATATATATATTATATTCTTTGCAAGCTCTTGCGGGATCAAATGAAGTCGCGGGCCGGATTTGGCTTTAGTTTGACACCGCTGCACTAAAGGAAGTACTGAGATATTGTACTTGTAAAAGTAGCAATACTACAATGTAAAAATACTCTAATATATAAATATGATTAATAATACAAATATACCTACATTGAAAGAACTGATTATGCAGAATGTAATAATATAATATGTGATTATAATAAGTGATGTTTTAATGTGTATCACTTCCATTTGCAATGAATGGTTTATTAAAATGACTTACATACTACTGGGTAGCTGAACTAGTTATATTTGTCATGTAATACATCATAGATGGAGATTTCTGCTCAATTTAAGAATGAAATAAATACAAAATAAAAAAGGAATATAAAACATGTTAAAGAAAGAATGTGTAATAAAGATGAATGGATGAAGACGAGTAAAAAGTTCAACACGAAGCTCCAAAACAAGGAGCAGTTAAAGTGTAAAGTAGCATTAACTGATGATAGTCAAGTCAAGTCCTTCAAATATGTACTGAAGTAGAAAACTGAGTAAATGTACTTCGTTACTTTCCAGCTCTGCTCTGTGTTTTTACCATGTCTCTGTTCCATGCTGACAGGAGCAGAATGATGAAGATGAAGATGAGGTGAACTATGAAAACGATGGAGGGGCTTCTGCCTCTGTGTGACTGATCAACAACATCAACTCCCCTCAGAGTCCATGCTGTCAAACATCACCTCCTCATATGTTACAGGAGAAAACAGGAGAACCATGAGATCATTGGAACATTTCTGATGCCTGAGAACACCTGAGCCCCACGAGAGGCCCTTCAGAAACTCACCTCCATGTGATAGGAGACACAGCTTATTGTATTCATTCCTTTCTGACTGAACGTCCTTTAAGTGTGCTCTCACATTCCCATACATAGTTATACTGGATCTGATCTATAGTCTACAGTCTCTGGATAACATCTCTATATTAGCAGTACTTGTACTCACACCTTATACCTTCACTTCTCACTGTAACTGCTGCACATGTTCAAACATACGAGTGTTGGGTTGAATTCATAAAATATCTAAATTGTAAAATGGTCCATAAAATGTTTTTCTTAATTGTGATCTCTAGAGAAAATCATTCACCCTAGTGTCGATTTAATAACTTTAATAATGCTTTTATCTCGTTTTTCAATTAATGATTCATATAATCCTCACACATACCAAATCATCACATCACCCCAGTCCTCAAAGACCTCCACTGGCTTCCTGTCTCCCATCGCATCAACTACAAAATTCTGGTCCTCACCTACAAAGCACTCCACCATCTGGCCCCCCCTTATCTCACAAACCTTCTCACTCCTTATCAACCTCCACGGTCCCTCAGATCCACCGCAGCCGGACTCCTATCCACTCCCACATCCACACTCTGCAGCTTTGGGGACAGAGCCTTCTCAGTGGCAGCTCCTAGGCTCTGGAATTCCCTCCCCCAAGATCTCCGTGACTCTGAGTCCCTCACAGTCTTTCATTCCCGCCTCAAAACACATCTTTTCAACTCTGTCTACCCATAAGCCCCCCCCCTCTCAATCAACTTCCTCTTGACTGCCTTTTTATTTTTTTACTTACTTGTTTGCCTGTCCTTGTTTGTCTACCCTCCCTCATACTGTAAAGCGTCTTTGAGTTGTGAAAAGCGCTATATAAATAAAATGCATTATTATTATTATTATTATAATGTCTTATAGTTAGCATAGCATGTACTTATACCTACAATATATATACCTGTACTGCCTACTGTAACTGCTGCACATGCTGTATATATCTGATCAATAGTCTATACCATATATTTACTATACTCACTTTTTACTCTGTGTGTATTCCTAAAGCTGAAATGCCTCCAGTATCTTAGGATGTTTTAATTAGCTTAAGTCCTAATGGAATATGTTTCTCCTTTTTTTTACTACGGCTTTAATGAAATATAATCCAAATAAAAAGAGTACTTTTAATGAATGTTATAATGAGTTGTGTTTCTCTCTCTATCTCCAACACACTGACAACACAACGCTTTGTTGGGTTTAACCCCTCTCTTTGCCCTGGCTCTCACTTTGTAAACAACATACAGTTTGTGTCAGAGCCAAGGAAGGTGTTGCACATTCAGTGGAGCTGTGGTGATATCCTGGGATCAGGTATGAGGCAAGAGAGAGAGTGAGACTGTTTGATTTGACTTACGTACTCTTCAGCGTTCTTGGAGAGTGCATCAGAGCGTCACAGAGGAAGCTCTAAGAATGGCACATCGAGAAGAGGCTAGAAAACCTGGCTAGGTGGCTATAGACCTTTCAAATCCCCTGATCAACATCCTGTCAGCTTTCAGACTGGTCCTCCGGTTCAGTCAGCGCTTCATCTGTTGAGCAGATCCCCATTTTACCAGTTGTGTGCTGTTGAATGACGTGTGCGATTATTTGTGTGTTAGTGTGTGTATTTCTTAAAGTGTGTGTATGTGTGTGTGTTAATACACTGCAGCTCGACAGCACCACCCTCAGGTTTGTGTGTTTATTTTTTTACGATCAAACGTTTTACTTTTGGTTTGTCACTGGAGGAAGATTTTATATTCTACATTAAAAAGAAATCAAAACAGACTTCCTGCTGTCGAGTTTTCATCAGTAACGTGGGTGCAGATCAACTTTACTGCACAATCAACACTTTTATTTTTAAATAAATGTTGCTTACATTTTATATTTTCACTTCAGTATGGCTTATTTTCAGGACTTTTAATAGTATTTTCTTTTATTATAAAATCTGTTCTGTAATTACTCATCTTATTTATTTAGACCTGTTTTTCCTGCTGTATTTCCAGTCCAGGCCTCTAGGGGGCGATACACTCTTCAAGAACCTGACTGTACCTGTAATGCTCCTGAGTTTACTGATGCAGGGATACAAGATAAAAGACTGCATATTAAAAACACTTGATGCTGCAATTCCTCTTCATCACACCACGTGACCTCCTCTTCTTCTTCAGGTGAGTGATTATCTAAATGCTAAAGATTCAAGGCTTTACTGTAGATGCACATCATAACTAACTTAAGACATAAGTGATAAAGAATTGAAATAAGTGAATGAAGTAGTTCATTAAAGTGAAATCATAAGGTAAAAAGCAGGAAATTATATACAGCAGAAATACTGTTTACTTTAATAAATAAGTGCACTGTAAACACACACACACACTCACACACACATACCATGTATACATCACTTCAGGGGACATTACATTGACTTACATGCATTTCCTAGAGACTTATCCTAAACCAAACCCTAAACCTAACCAAGTCTTCACCCTAAAATGAATGATCCATTGTGTCCCCATAAGGGAGGCGAGTCCCCACACGTGACTGTGTCAACAGATGTTGGTCCCCACAAGTATAGTAATGCTAGGACACACACACACCTTCCCGCAGCCACACATACTCACTGGAGCACCACATGTGGATTAATCCGCGGATATAAATAGTCCCCTGAATATTCCTGCTTGTTTGATAAAAGCTACAGTGAGCATTATATGATGTGTCTGTGTTGTGTGTGTGCGTGTCTCTGCGCGTTTATGTGCGTGTATGCGTGTGTAAGCGTGTGCGTGTGTGTACATTCTAAAGCAAGTGTTGACCAAGCTTCTGCTGCCCCCTGCTGGCAATAAATGTACAGAAAATGTCACGAGAATTTCAACATGGCTTTATTCTGTTCACATTTCTGTTCTGGAAATATATGCAAATAAGCAGATATTTAGTAAGATAAGCCTCATTTGCATATTTAAACTTATCATTTTAGAAAACGAGTCATATATAAATAAAAAGGTCTTTATGTCCGTGATCAGCTGGGGAAGTGAGGCCATATATGTCCCCTTTTTTCTCACTGAACAGAGACCACCCCCACACACACACACCACACACACACACAACACACACACACACACACACACCACACACACACACACACACACCACACACACACACACACACACACACACACACACACACACACACACACACACACTCACACACTCACACACTCACACACTCCCTTCTAGATCTAGGGGGTACAAAGGGAAGTAACAACACACCAGGATGACCAAGCACGACAAAAGGGAGAGAAAACCGATCTCTGAGTAACGATCCAGTCGTTTAATGATCAATCAGGAACACGGCTCACCAGCCAACTTGCAAAACAACTCTTGCTACAAATATATATATATATTGGAGACATGGACACCACGCTGCACACATCCAGCCCGGGGAGAAGGAGAGAGAGACTGCAGCTTTTCCCAGGTCCTTATGGAGGCCCTGATTAGTGATTGGGAGCACCTGAGGAGAAGCTGCACCTGGAGACAATATAGAGGGAGAGAGAGAAACACACACACACCACGGCACGTAACACTTCCCCCCATAAAACCAAACAAGTGTTTGGTCACCGTTACCAACAACACCCACCACCCAGTTCACCAGCATACCATTGGATGCTTGGAAGCTGCCACCTGCTGCTTCCAAGCATCACACTCCGCCGCCAAATGACCAGGGTCAAGACAAAAGAAACACAATCTCTTAATGTCGGGACCTGGGAGAGAAACAGACTGAGCACGTGTGACACGTCTGTTACGAGCCCTACAGTGAGGATAACTGCCCTGAGGATACACTTTACCCCCGGCTATATCATTACCCATTATGACATCCACACCGTCGACAGGAAATTTGGGGAGCACAGCAACTGGAAAGAAACCAGTAGCCAGTTCAGACTGGACATGGACATTGTGAAGATGTGCGGGCACAGAACCCATCCCAATACCTCTCACCACCATATCCGCATCACAGGCAGACTCAGCACTCAGGGGCAGGGCACCGGCAAGGATGAATGACTGTGAGCCACCACTGTCTCGCAACACCGTGACATGCCGCTGGTCCTCCACCTTTCCTGACAGAGAGACAAAGGCAGTAGAGATGAACGGTTTCAAACACTCATCAGGTCCTTTGTTACCAGTGGCCCGTCCACTAGGACACACTGTTGTAACCAAACCCACCCCTTCTGGGCGCTTGCCATCCACTGTCTGCTTTCTCTTCCAAGCTGCACAGTCTGCTATCATATGACCTGGGTCAAGACAAAAATGACAAGCTCTGTTTATCCTGGGACCTAACAATGGAACACTGGCACAGGGAACGTAATTGTCAGGAGCTCTACGATAAGTGTCCCGCTGAGGAGGATCATGCTGAAAAAAAAACGCTCTTGTGTATCAGCGCAAACTCGTCTGCCATAATGGCAGCCTGCTGAAGGGTAGTCACTTTCTGCTCATTCAGATAGACTACCGTACGCTCCGGTGCACAGTGTTTAAACTCCTCTAACATCATTAGCTCGCACACTGAAGCAATGTCATCAGCTTTACACGCTCTACACCACCTGTCAAGAGGGCTTTCTTCTCCCTCGCGAAGTCCACGTACGTTTGGCCAGAAGTTTTCTTCAGGCCGCGAAAACGCTGCCTGTAGGCCTCAGGCACAAGCTCATATACCCTAAGAATAGCACCTTTCACATTGTCATACACCAAACTATCCTCGACAGAAAGATAAGAGCAAGCCGCTTGAGCCTTGCCGACTAGCTTGCACTGTAAAAGAATAGCCCACACATCTTCTGGCCAGTGCAGAGCAGCAGCAATGCGCTCAAATGCACCAAAATAGACATCGACCTCTGATTCACGAAACACAGGGACCAAAGAAATATGCCTGCTCACGTCAAAGGAAGCAGCAGGACCAGAAGGTGTAACTGCAGAATCACCCACCACAGCTGCTTGGAGTTCTAGCTGACGCATCCGGACAGCAGTGTCTGCCTCCAGCTGCTGCTTCCTGATCTCCAGCTCTTGCTCCTGCTTCCTGATCTCCAGCTCTTGCTCCTGCTTCCTGATCTCCAGCTCTTGCTCCTGCTTCCTGATCTCCAGCTCCAGCTTCCTGATCTCCAGCTCTTGCTCCTGCTTCCTGATCTCCAGCTGCTGCTTCCTGATCTCCAGCTGCTGCTTCCTGATCTCCAGCTCCAGCTCCTGCTTCCTGATCTCCAGCTCCAGCTCCTGCTTCCTGATCTCCAGCTCCTGCTTCCTGATCTCCAGCTCCCTCCTGAGCTGAAAATCCCTATCTCGCTCCTCCCTCTCACACTGGAGACGAGCCATACGCACTTTTACCCTAGCATCTAATTTAGACCCCGTAGGTGAGGATCCTGCCGAGAACGAGCCAAACTGAGGTGTGGTGAAAAGTTTTGCCCGTTCCAGTAGCACTCTGAACACCAGGAGTAACACCAATGCGGCCTCCACCATGAGATACTGTGCTGCTACAGCCCCGGCC